TGCTTGGTGCGACACTACCTGGTACTTGCCCATTTGCTTTCTCTCTTGCAATTATGATAGCTAGCATGTCCACATCTATGTTAAATAAAAGGGAAAATTGCGTTCTTGCCCTTGTCCAGTACTCCAATTGTGATTTTGCCCCTCTTTTTTTAACTTTGTAATTTTACCCTCGCTTTTTTCAAACAAAGCTCCCGTCTACCCCTGTTTTGTAACACCGTCTAAAATGCTTGGATTAAATGATAAAAAAAAGGAAAAGAAAAGACACCTACGTGAAAAGACAATGATACCCCTCAGTCCCTTTCTCCTTTCTCACCCGTTCGCTCGACCCGTTCCCGACGAGAAGTCACGGCTCATGGTTTCATGGCTGCGGCAATCAGCAGCGCGCATGCTACCATGGCGGCGCAGCAGCTCCTCCTCCTCCTTCCCGCTCCCCCAGCGTGGCTCATCCTCCCCCCTTCCCGCCTCCCCCCCGCGCTCCTCCTCCCTCCGCACACTCCCGGCAGTGGCGGGCTCGCGTGTTAGGGTTTGGGAGTACCCGCGCGCAGCGCTGACCATCTGGCGGCGGCACATCCTCATCCTCACTCCGCCCGCTCCTCCCGAGCTCGCGCCCATGATGCGCTGGCGCGCCGCGTGGCTCATGGCATGCTCCGCCCGACCCCCCCCAGCTCGCGCTGCTTCTGCGCGGCCTTGGGGGGGCCTCATTACCCGCCCGTCCCTCCCCCCACAGTCGCGGCCGCACCATCTGCTGCTCCAGTCGGGCACCTCTGGGATAGCTGCAGGGCGGGCAGAGCGGGTGGCGTCAGGCCCCCATTTGCGTGCGTGGACCAACAGGGCCCACTCAAGGAGGTGCAGTCGCCGGCGGCGCTCGATGCCGCACTGCAGAGGGCCGATGGCGCTCGATCCCGGCGCCCCTCCCCGACCCCCATTTGTGTGCTCTCGCGCAGCTCTAGTCGGAGGCGAGCCCCCGTGGGCCGCCTCGGCTGCAGACCCCGTGCAGGCCGACACAGCGCGTCGCCACTGCCGTCGGCTAGCCGAGCGAGGCCCCTCCCCTCCTCTCCACGACCGCCGTTGGTTGGCTTGATCGAAGCGCGACGCGCCGCCACGCCACCTTCGGCGACGCGTGGGCTCGCTTTCGAGAGGTGCACGCGGCGATGTGGGGGCGGCGCGTGGTCGTGAGCTCTCAAAGACGTGCACTCGCCGGTCTTCACTAGCGCGCTGCCTGGGTCCGGGCATGGCGGGGCACCTACATGTCATCACCTCCGCAACCGCTGCCTCTTCGACCAAGTAGTCGCACCTACGATTTGGTGAGTAATTGTTGCCTCGATGACATGCCCCACCGGTGTTCGATGAATTGACTTGTCACTTGATCCGATAGATGTTTTCGTGGTGGCTACTTGCTTTGATTCAATCGCTCAGATGTCTGATCTGCTCCTTGTGCATTTGAATCCCAGCATAAGGTACAGAGATCCATGTTTGTGATTCGTGCATACTTCATCTTCATTGTTCTTGTTTGTTGATTATGTGTTTGTGCTACTGTTTTTATGCTCTGCTTGGTTGCAATTAGAGCTCAACCTCTCTCCCTGATGCGGTGGTGTCTCCAACACTGGACTGTCATCCCTATGTGCCGATGCATAAATCTATGTGCTGATGGTTTCTATTCACTCTGAGGCATATGATTTCTACTTTATAATCTAGCTATATCAGAGCCCTTATGATTTCTATGCTTCATGTGTGATGGATGTTTTTAGTTGGAGGTATTTTAGATCGAGCTTTCTATGCTTTATGAGTTCGGCGATTTGATGTGGTTTGAATTTTATGCTTCGTGTGTAAAAGTTTGTATGCTCCATGTCTCATGTTTTTTTCTAGCTGGAGGTGCTGTAGCTGGATGTATCTATGCTTCATGTGTTTCTAGAATTTTTAGATCGAGCTTGTATGTCAATTAATCTGCATAAAAAGTTGTGGCCCAATCTCGATCTTCTTGCGAGCTCCAGCAATCTAGTTTGCTTGTTGATTAATATGCATAAAGAGTTGTTCCTGGTTTTTATGCGTTCTAATTTGGGTCGCTATAATGTGCGGCAAGACAACAGTGGCCAGAGCTTCGTTGCAGAGCAATATATCGAAGAGTGGATCCCCAAGTAGACTAGCACCTGATACAACTCAAGGACACGGGTGCTGGCTCCTGAAAAAAGATATATGGAAGCTTCACCATCTATTATGTCTACTTCTGAGAAAGGTGAATTTAGCAGGCTGTTGAAAGCAAAAATCAATGAGCTTGGCATGTCAGACATGATTGAGTGTACATATGATTCACCTTCAGTTTGGCATCTCTTTTCCAATTTGGTTAGTAAATACATGGTGTAGTTTTAGTGCTTGTAGTGTTACATAAACCAACTTGTATGGCTGTTACTTTTGCTGAAAAAATATATACCGTATGACATTCCTATGTGGTAAGGTACTAAGGTTATCAGTGCATGCATCTACTTATACAGTTTGTCAACCGATGTTCTACATGCATTCTTATACATTGAAGATTTTTGGTCCCACACAAAAGATTATATCAAAATATTTCTTATGGCGTTAAATCTGTCATCATTATGAACCTTTTGGTCCCAAAATTTTGAATATTTATCAATATTAAATCTAAGTTCAAATAATTGCAAGTTGTGCCAAATATGTTTGACCAAATTTAATCAATTGTCAGCATACAATAAAAAAGTCTAATTCCAAATCAGGGTAAAATCACAATTAGACATAACAAATAGGGGCAAAATCGCATGGGCATTCATGTCCTTTTGTACAAAGTTTAACACCGTTAGAGGTGGATGACGGAGCAGGGGCAAACTGATGCTTCGTTTTGAAATCATAAGGTACATTCACAAAGTCAAAAAAATAGGGGCAAAATCACAATTTCAATACAAAACAAGGGTACAAACGCAAGAGCCCCTAAATAAAATTAGGGACAAAGGATCGTCTCGTCTTAAACCTTTTTTACCTGAAAATATGGCCCAATTTGATCATTTAATTTACTCCTAGCATTACCTTTCTATACAAAAGTCTAAATCCAAGAACCCCAAGTTGGGGGGAAGCCTTTTATCCACAATGCTTGTTGAAGAAAATCACATTTGACATTATCGTACCCTTTTTCAAAATCTATTTTAAAGATTACACCGTCCAATTTCTTCCTATGGAACTCATGGTTTCATAAAGAATGATCGCCCCTTCCATAATATTTCTACTAGGGAAAAAGGCTATTTGCTATGGCCGAATTAATTTTTGTGCAAACTAAGACAATACGATTAGTGGCTATTTGTGAGAACTTTGAAACTCACATTCAGCGTATAGATTGATTTGTATTGTTGTATTTGTTTTGCCTCCCTACTTTTTGAAAGCAAAGTGATGGTTCTGAATTTCAAACTATGCAGAGATAAGAAAACTTTATGATAGTTGATTTATTTTGGGAAGAAAAGAGTACATTGAAATTGTATTCTTTTCTCGACTGAGGGAGTAAAAAGGATCAAGCTAAGAAATCATTCGGAAGGGCTCCTGGGGCTCTGGCTCCTCCAACTCATGTACTGTTCATAATACTTCATCAGTGTCTTTTTTCCCATCTTCTCTGAATATAGACGGGGTGAGGAGAATCCACTATCTTTGGTCCATCCGGCTCTAACTCCTTAGCTACTGTAGCCTGAAATAAGAGCGAGGAGGAGTCGAGCCGGCCAAACCGGCCCTTAGTATACATATACTGCAACAACTATTCGGAAATCATCTAGCGGAAAGTCTACTCGGTCCAACAGGACATGAGTGATAGACATGAAAATACTTCAGGCGTAGATCTAGCGGCTAATGTCTTAACTTAGATAGAGAAACTTGCTTGATGTACCTCGCCCTAGGTCATCGTTACCTAAAGTGAATCATGTCCGAGTCCCCTCGCGTCGGTGTAGTAGTTGCAGTGGCACCGGCGAGGATGTTGGAGGCGCGGTGCAGTGACTGTGACTGACGACAACGCGAGGTGCCACAGTCTGGTGGTGGCAGTGGACTTCCCGTCGCTGGCAGCACCGTCTCTCTTGATCGGTTAGCATTAGGGTTTTTCTGTAGAGGGTTGCGGGGGCTTAGGTCAACCTCCAGCCTGTTCGGGAGGCCGTATCGTATCGTGGATTATTTACTGCTGGCTGGTTTGATGTGAGAGAAAAATACTGTTCCCAGCTAGAAATTTATGATCGTTTACGAGCAAGCAAACATGCTGCTCGTAGCTTATGCCCGGCTCCATCTCTCTTTTATGGTGCTGTGCGACGGGGATCCACCAATCAAGGAGCGATTGAACACCCTCGATCAGGACACGGATCCAAAGACCAAGCTAGACTAATTGGTGGAGATTAAACTAGCAACTAAAAGCATCTCACTGCCGGGTCTGCTTGAGCAAGAGAGCGCAGAAACGATCGCCATTTCTCACGACACGGTTGGCGATTCGCTCGACAGCGCGCTAGAGCCAGCGATCCAGCGGCGAGCTTCCAAAAATCAGATACAGAAGAGGCCATGGGGGAGCGCACGGCCAGACACGTTCACGTCGCCGATCCGCGTCACTGACAAGTCCGGCGGTCAATGGGGCGCCAACAAATGCCTGCCTTTCACGTGGCCCTGGGCCCACTAACAGTGACATACAGGTTGTCCTTACTCCTCCTACCTCGCTCAGCTCAGCTCTTCCTCTGCACTCCTCTTCCCACTGCCCCTGTCTCCCTCTGCATCAGTAGTTTTGGTCGCATCTCTTTTTCTTGCATTTTTTGCATTGGAGTCCAAACGCAACCAGGCACTGAGCTCGACTGGGTTCCTAGACTACTACTGCTAAAAAAACGCGCGATAATTGACAGAAAGAGGGCTGGTAGAACTCCATTTTACAAAATTTGCAGAATAGCCCCCCGTCTTTCGCTCCAAATTCTTTATTCCTCCACCGCTCGGCCCAGATCCCGAGTCTACGCTGCACTGCATCATCCCACCTCCTCGGTTCAGTTCCAGTGTTCCGTGGGCTCGGTCCACCACGCCATCGGCGGCGGCTGCTCCACGGCGAAGAACCCGCCGCACGGCTCGTCGTCGTCCAGGAGCCCCGTCTCGTCCTCCTCCACCTTCAGGAAGCTCCCGTGGAAGAACACCCCGCCATGGTTCACCGCCGCCGCTGCGCTGGCGACGGCGCAGGGCGCGTCAAGAAGAGTACCCTGTACCTCCGGCACCGGCGGCGCCTCCGGCACGGGCGGGTCCGCGTCGTTCAGCACCGCGCTGGAGTCACTCTCGGACGACCCCACCCCGACGGGGGGAGGCCCGTCCGAGGCCGCCGGCTCCGCCTTGACCGACGTGAAGCTCGCCGCTGCCTCCTCGTCCCCCAGCTTCGCCTTGAGCTCCTTGATCTAGGACAATTCAGACAACCAACCAAGTTAGGATCAGCCATTGCGTTGCGCACGTAAATAAAGAAACAAACAACACCTTAATCGTGCTCGTGCTCGTCCAGCAGCTTATATAACGGCAGGCATAACATCGACAACAATACCTCGGCGAGGAGGGCGTCCTTGTCGCGGCGTAGCGCGTCGTGGTCGTGGCGTAGCGCGTCGTAGGAGTGGCGGAGCGCGGCGTAGTCGCGCTCCAGCTGCTTGGTCTTCCAGCGGGCGCGGCGGTTCTGGAACCAGACGGCGACCTGGCGCGGCTGCAGGCCTAGGTCGCGCGCCAGCCGCGCCTTGCGCTCCGGCTCCAGCTTGTTCTCCACCTCGAAGCTCCGCTCCAGCGCGCGCACCTGCTCCGCGCTCAGGCGCCGCTTCTTCTCCCCACCGCCGCCGCCGCACGCCATCATCTCCTCATCCGCGTCCGCGTCCGCCTCCATCCCGACCACGCCGTAACCATCATCTGGGAACGCACAAGGACTCAATCTTCAGCACGCGCTCCGCCACGACATCACCCCCAAAACAATGGATTCCCGCAAGAAAAAATAAAACAGAAAGAAGCTGGAAGTTACCATCCGGATTGGCCATGGCAGCGAGGGAGGAGGGACTGCCGCCGCGTGGCCGCTTCATGTCGAGTTCGATCGAGTGAAATTCGGAGGGGACGGCGGGGACTATCTTACAACGAGAACAGGATTAATGGGCGGGGGACGAGCGCCTCCATTGCTGCTTCCGTGCCGTGACTCATGGCCAACACACCATGCACCGTCGACGGTCGATACAGTTCTCTACAATTGCAACAATTTCCCGTGTGGAGTGAGGCCTGTGTCTCCCCCTCTCTCTCTCTCTGTGTTTCTTTTTCGGTTTGCTTTCAGTTCCCGCAATACTGTGTGCTGTCCTCTGTGCGTTAATAAAGGGCGTGAGCGAGAGAGAGGCGAAAGGGAGCTCGGGTCCGGGAACTGGGTTAGGTTAGGTCAAGAGGTAACCATGGTTAACCTTGGAGGCAACCGGGCACAGCACCTCGACTGTTCTGTTCCTTGCGGTTCAGTTCGGATGGAACATGGAAGCATTGTTTCAAAAAAAAAAAGGTTCAGAAGGAAGCAAAGAGCTTAAGAGCGTGAGTTGTGTCTGGGTTCGATCAGGGGGGAGCACTTTGAATTTGAATCTCTTTCGAGTTATGGAAGTACTCCTATATTTTTTAAAGGAAAAAATCAATTTTTAGCCCTCTAACTATGACATGTAGTTTGTTTCTAGCCCTCTAACTCTAAAACCGGACAACCGCAGTCCCTTAACTCTCAAAACCGTTTAAAATTGGCCCCCGCGTCCGTTCCACCGTGATTTCGGCCATCAACCCGCGCAACATCATTTTTCGCCCGATCCTCGTCCCTTCATGATTGCCAAGCGCGATCAACGAGCGAGAGAGAGAGAGAGAGAGAGAGAGCGCGCAAGGCAAGGCGAGCCGTAGGGGCTCTCTCTCTCCTCCAACAGCAGCGGCGAGGCAAAGGGGGCGGCAGCGAAGCGGGCGCTGCTCTGCTGGCGGCAACGGCAGGCGGCGGCGCGAAGCGGTGCGCTCTCCTCCGACGCTGCCGTCTCCGTGCAAGGGCGGTGCGGATCTGGCGCAAGGCCTGGCCGGGCGTCGTCCCGCTCGGCGACGTCGACCACGGGAATCCCCGCGCCGACCCGCCTCGACGCCATGGAGATCCGGCCGCCTCTCTTGGCCTACACCTCGGGCAGCCGCCGCCGCCCTCAGTCTGCTGTCGTGGCCAGCCCCGCAGCAAAGCTCTGCCTCGGCTCGTCGGAGGCCGCCACCGACCTCTGCTCTGCTTTGCCAAGCCGCACGGGCCACGGAGCCCTACGTGACGAGGCCGCAGGAACGCCATGCCCACTCGTAGCCGCCCTCGCCTGCCGCGCCGAGACGGACGCCGCCTTGGGCCGCTGCGAGCTGCTGCTGCTTGGCGTCGATTGGAGCACTTGTCGTCGCAGCCGCCGTCGCCCAGAACTAGTCCCAGGCGCTGCTCATCTCCGACGAGCACATCTTTTTCCTCGGCTCGAAATCACCACTCACCACACCGCGCCCGCCTTGCGTGCCGCCTGCGTCTTCGCCGGTTAGGTCATGATCGCGGCTTCAAGCTTGTGTTGGCAGCGTCTTTGGCCGGATTTGGGCAGCCAGAGCTCGGGCACCTCACGGGCCCAGGAGGGGGGCTGTCATCCATCACCGTCCAGCGCACCGACGAAGACAACCGGTGAAGCAGAGGAGGCTGGGGTCCATGGCGTCGTGCACGCGTCCGCGCGCATGCCGATGATGGCGAGGGGGCTCGGGGCTCTACGTGGGCCGCCTAACGCTTTCGGCTCCGCCGCTCGTCCTTCCTTCTGCTTCGCTTCGCGGCGGCAGGCGAGGAAGGAGGCCGGGCGCTTACGCGTGGCGGCTAACGCAGCGCGGCGGCGTCTCGTCGGAGCTCGGGAGCGCCATGATCATCCCGTCTACGGCGCGTGTGGGGCTCGGCGGTAGGGACACGACAGCCATGGTCGCCTCTCCGGTCACGCCTCGGCCGGCCATGGCGGCTTCTCCGGCGCGGCTCTTCGCTTGCTCCACCCCAACACGCAACGAGGCGGCGCAAGATGCGAAGCGTGGCCCGGCCCGCGCGGCACCAGCGGTCCCTCCCGCGGGCAAAGACTCTAGCAGCAATGACGAAAGCCCGGCGCCATCCTCAGACGGATCTGCGGCAGAGAGAGCAAATGAGCGGTCTGGTCAGTGGGCGAAGTTCGTCCGGAGATGAGGCCAGACGGGGCCTCGCGGAAGGGTGGACGGCAAGTCGCCGCAGCGTCCAAATCGACCTCGCGCTCTCTCTCTCTCTCTCTCTTTGCTCTCGCTCGTTGACCGCGCGACACTCGCGAAGGGACGAGGACTGGACCGAAACCGCGGTCGCCGCGGGTTGACTGGGCCGAAACCACGGTGGAACGGACGCGAGGGCCAATTTTAAATGGTTTTGAGAGTTAAGGGACTGTGGTTGTCCGGTTTTAGAGTTGAAGAGCTACAAACAAACTGTAGCCATAGTTGGAGGGCCAAAAATGAACTTTTTCCTTTTTTTAAATTACTTTTCATATTGATATTGAAGATGTAGTTTGTACCATACTCTTTTTTTTTCCGGAAACCAAGGCCACTGGAAGTTGTGCTTTGCCTGGCATCGTGGTTTCACTCTCATCTGGAAATTATGGCTCTTTTGATTTGTTTTCCCCTATAACAATTGTTTCACGTTCGAACGAAATTGCCAGCATCACTCCACTGCTTTATATATATATATATATATATATATATATATATATATATATATATATATATATATATATATCACCCACCCCATCTCCTCGTTTTTTTTTTTTTGCTAGTACTACGTGCTAGCCGAGTAACGGACACCATTCCTAACCACCCTACAGTACAGCGGAAACGAGGCGGTGGTCAAGCTCAGGTCACGCCCATGAACAAATCGACGAACCAAAGCCGGAGGAAGCAGGTAGGCTGCGCAGGCAGGCAGGCACGGCAGCCTGCGGCCGGGCCCGGCGTCAGCGAACCGCAGGTCCGCACCCCACCCGGCCACAAGCGCGCCGCAGCGTGAGCGGCGAGGCGAGCAGCGCGGGTACTGGGGCGCGGGGCCGCGGGGTCGAACCTGTACGGCGACGCGCGTGGGCCGTGTGCGTGGGGGCGTTGCGTTGGTGCGGTGGTGTCTGGTTTCGGCGTGCGCTGCCGGTTCGGCGCGGGCGCTCGTTCCGCCACCCCGGGCGGACGGGCTGCACGGGACGGGGCGGCGCGAGCGAACGAGGGCGAGGGGATTACGGATCGAAAAGGCCGGGTCGCTTGGCTTCCATTGGTCGGGGGATCAAAAGGCAGGCCGGTAAAAGCCAAACCATACGGCGGGGCAGCTTTCTGGGAAATGGACACGGAGGACGGGCGGCCGGAGTGCTGAACGGCTGGAGCCTGGACCGGGACCGGGACCGCGAGTAGGTCGATTTGCACTTCACTCCTCGAGTCCTTCACATTTGCCTGGCATCCTCTCGTTTGGGTTCTGCACTTCTGCTGAAGTTCGATGGCCAAGAGGGCTAGTAGCTAGCATCCTTCGACTATAGTTGGGGTAAAATATCATGGAGCCCAACATATTTTTTCCTCAGAATAAAAACGCAATCACCGAAGATTCTGCGCCCCATTTCTTCTGAACAGCGACCCGAATCGTTTTCAATCGGCTCGTCGATCGCCCGCCGGTGGAGAAAAAGCGACCGCGGCTTTTGGTACGCCTCCCCCTTTCTTTTTGTTTAGTAGCACCCGGGTGCATATTCTAACCTCCCCGCAGATCCCCAGCGAATCTCTTGGGCGCAAAATGTCCCCGGTTTTTTAAAATCGGCATGGACAGGGAGGGGCTATACAATTCGATCGTCCCCCCGCCGAAAACGACGTGTCGCGAAAGCTGGGATTCCTTGGACGCTCCATTGGCCTGGCCGGCTGGCCCCGTGTCGTTGCGAATTGTTTTGTTGCCCTTTATTTGCGTTGGTAATGTATCCTAGTATATATAAAGCGTGTGATCATGAACCACCCGCAAGAAGAAACAAATGGTGATGACTGATGAGGAAAACGTCGTAATGCTAGTGCCCCGTTCAGCGGCGATGATTTTGAGTTGCTCGCCGTGTGTGTGATCGGTGACGAGGTTTCGGTCACGGCGCACTTCTGTTGGTCACGGTTGTTGCAACCTTTTTACTAGCCATTAGCGCAAGAAACTAGCGTGGTACCGTCCCTGGAATTGGCAGCGGCTCCCTCGGTTTTGTGTCTCCTGACTCCTCTGCGTAAGCGTAACTCATCTGGTAAAGCTTGTTCAACAAGTGCTTGAAGCCTCGGACGAAACTGGGAAGACGCAAGTTGTGCAGGATGCAGGTGAAAGATACATCTCAGCTACTGGATGCACTTGAGGTTTGACAAAAAGTTGCACGATCTAGAGTACTTGCAGATAAAGTCGGTCTTTGTGTGTGGCCGGCACGGCAGGGCTAATACATGCAGTGTATGTGTAGCACTGTCAGCGCACCAAGTCTTCGTTCTTTTTTGCTTTAGGATCCAAGTCTTTCCTTGGTGACGACTGACGAGTAATGAGCGGAGTATCAGACAATTGTATCACCACAAGATATGACGTTACCATGTCGGTGCATTTGTATCGCTAATATGTTCTCTTGTTCTAAATTATAGCTCATTTTTTAGTTTGTTTTAAGTTGAATTTCTCTACTTTTATTGAGTTTTTAGAACAATATATAGTGAGGTCTATATATTTAAATAAGTGTACTACCTAAACTCAGTTTATAGAGAATTAATAAAACTAATTTGATGTTGTGGAATATACAGTAGATGGTTAATGCTCTCTATAAATACATATTTAGATCAACAAAGTAGAAGTGAACCGTAATTCGCATCGCAAATCGCGTGCTTGGCTTGGCTCCGTGACGGTCCACGCCCCCAGACGGCCATCGGAGAAAGAAAGCATGCTACGCATCTGCTTGCCGTTCGCCGGGATGGTGATCGGCGGCGCCACGGCCAACGGAGACTGCCAAAGGCCACGGGCAGATGACCGCCTGTATGTTGACCTCCACCCGGAACAGGGTGACATTTCCGTCGATGTCGCTCAGAGTCACAGGCCAGCAGGCCGCTCCTCACAGGCTCACAGCATCATCTGCGGCTCGGCGCCGTACCGCGCCGTAGCTAGCAGCAAGTTGCCATCAGATGTCCGGCCCCTCGGGCTCGGGTCCTTCTCACACGGCTGGCTGGGCACCATGCGACGTTTGCTTCTGCCTGAGCCTGAGACGGACAAAGGATCGGTCGGGGCCCTGGCGTGGCGTGTGATTCCTGAACAAACAATGGTGGTGTCAGTCGTGGTGACTGGTGACGGGACTCGTTGCCAGGGCCGCCCGCCAAAAAGGGAGAGCTCACGGTCTCACAGAGGCACTGGACTCTTCTCTGCGCCAATGGAAGCAACTTGCGTGCGCACCTCACTCTCACTGGACATTTGCTTTGCCTTGCACCGTAGGAGTAGACTGCTGCTGTAGTGCTTGCACTTGCACGAGCGATGAGCATAGACGCCTAGTAGTAGGCAAGCCTGCCTGCCTGCCTCTTCCGCGGTTGGCCGTATACGTCGTTTGGTGTTTTCGTGTGCGGACGATGCGCAGCAAGCAACGCTCACTACGTTCGTCGTTGGCGCGGGCGGCACCATGGAAAACGAGTGGAATGTTGCTTCGGTTCCGCGGGAACCGGCGGTCGTGTTCGGCACTTGGGTTGGATACCCTGACACTGCCTTGGCTTGTCGCATCTCGGACAAACGCTAGGCAGCGCAAGCTTGCGCGTAACTCGGACGCAGAACTGATGGCGTGGGGGCGTGCCCCCAACTGATCAGCTTGCAAAGCTGCCGGCCTGCCGCGACAACCCTGTGTGCCGACCTATCGCTGGCGGCCTGGCGCTCTCCGTCCGCCTGCACCGGAGTTATTGGGCGGAACAGGGTGGGGGGAAGGAGAGGACGGCCTCACTGTGCGTCTGAGCCGGCCGGAAACCGGTGACGTGCGCGCATCCCGGCTCGCGCAGTCTGAACAGACATCAGAGAGTAGGGCTAGGGCAGGAGGACAACAGACAGGTACCGCGCGCGAGCGCGGCAGGCAGCGATCGGTGGTCCCTGGCCCACGCACGGCATCGGCTCTGCTCAGCTCGCTGTCGCTGTGTGCCTGTGTGGCTGTGTGTGTGTGGCCAGGAGGTGAAAGCCACATGCCGACATGCGCTCCACCACCGCGCTCCGCTAGTCCGCTACGCGCCTTTTTGCTCGCCCAGCCTCGGGCGACGGGCGCGGCCTGCTCTATACTCTAGCAGGCGGCGGCGGCGGCGGCGTCGGTCATGTTGCCATGGATGTTTCACCGTCCCTTTCCTATCCGTGAAGTTCCACCGGAGTCGAGATTTTTCAGGTTCACGGCGTAGTCGTTGTCCTATCACCGGCGATCAGGTAACCCCCATGTCTTCGTCAAATTCGTCCTGTTCCTGGAAAGCCGCCACTCCGCTTGTCAGCAGTGGCCAATGGATGGTCGCGACGCTTGGACACAAGCGAAGCGGCAGGCTCCGTTCGCTTGAACTTATCAGCCGTACCGTTTCAGTGAAATAATATTATTTTTTTTCTTACAATAAATCAGCATCAGTTATTTTTGTAGCCAGGCCTTGTTTAGATTGAAAAAAATTTCAACCCGATGAATAGTAGCACTTTCGTCTTATTTGGTAAATATTGTCTAATCGTGGACCAACTAAGCTCAAAAGATTCATCTCGTGATTTCCAACTAAACTATGCAATTAGTTATTTTTTTATCTACATTTAATGCTCCATACAAACGACTAAAAATTGATGTGATGAAGAGAGAGTGAAAAAACTTGGAATTTTGAGGGTATCTAAACAAGGCCCCAGTCGAACAGAGCCCAAATTCGATCAGCGGGTGCATTTTGAAATTCGTGACAGGAACCACTGTGTGCCTGTGCGGAGAAGACAGAGGAAGGGCGGC